CGCGTAGCCTAGGCCATGTCAGTGCTTTAAGCCATCGCTCTTCAGTACAGCAATATATGTTCCCTGCAGGATAGTTGCCCATGGGCGGGGTGGGGGGGTAGAGCGGGTTGGCTGATCCGTCTTTTAGTGCACAAGTGCGCTGTAAGCTACACGTGCGTTTCCGCGTGCCTGAGATCTACAGTTCCACCGTCCTTCGGGACATACATTAAAATTTTGGAACGATACAGAGAAGTTGAGAGAACATTATTAGCATGGGGGCGTGCGCGCCAGGATGAAACACGCATAAATTGAAACATAGTCACAATTTTATTTTTTTTTAAAGGGGGAAAAACGGGATCTACAGTGCCACCCAGAGGGAAAGTGGTAGTGGTACGGTGGTACCCAGCCTGGCATGCTCAAGTGCACTGGATACTGGCATGTTGTTCTTGGCCGAGGCGACCTTTTCTCTCGCCCTCTTATTCCTCTGGTACGGTGGTACCCAGCCTGGGCGCTGCAAATTTTGGCCCGGTATGTGTAAAGTTGTAAACAAGAAAATAAATTCAAAAAAAATAAAATTACCTGTCATTTTCTTGTCAGTGGAGGTGGCTAAGAAGTCCCACTGCAGACGTTTTAATCGTTGTGTGACGAGTTTTTTTCAACATTTTTGTTAAAAAAAAAAAAGGAGAACGATTTTCCCTGTCATTTCCAGATATTAACGTCCTCGAAAAGTTTGAGAGAAAAAAAAAAAAGTCCTGTGATGGGCAGTGTCCATGGACGCTGCTGTGCAGCTGCTGCTGTTCACAGCTGCTTACGGTCGGTCCCCAGCAAACTTTTTTCGGGATGAAGTATGGCCTCCGCCGGCTATGCATGTGGCCCGTTTTCTGGGCATCGGCCATGTATGTCCTGCGAAAAAGAGTCCACATACTGGCGTGTGCACCGAGGCCGCAGACCTTCCGTACAACTATAAAAAAAAAAAAAAATCTTGTCAGATGCACAAATGATGCATGGAAGTTGTGACGGACGGCACTTTCCTTCCAATTTTTGTTTTCGAAAAGGCTTTTTGTGGAGTTGCAATATCCTCCTTCCCCCTCCCCCCCATTTGGCCATCCATGTGAGTGATGTAAGTTATGTCAAAGACATTTGCAGAGATGCTTACGTTGGTTGTCTCATCACTGAGTCACAGCTGGCAAATTCAAAAAGTGGCGCAGTATTTTATGAACTTGTGCCTTCAATCCCCCACCTTGTTCTGCCTTCCCTCCCGGGGGTTCCCCCACCCCCCCCCCCCCCCCCCTCCCCCCTTCTCGGACCGTCTGTAATATTTTTCGACTTCATAGACGTCGCTGTTCATAGACTTCATCAACGTTCATAGACTTCATAGACGTCCCCCTTCTCGGACTGTCTATGAACAGCTACCCTTCTGGTGAATGTTTTTAGACTTCATAGACGTCCCCCTTCTCGGACCGTCGATGTTCAGATCTCCCTGCATCAACGGACAGTGTGTGTTTCACCGACAGCCACACACGGTAAAAAAAAAAAACAAACAAACAAACAAACAAACAAACAAACAAACAAACAAACAGAACAGCTACCTATTAAAATGTCCGTAGTCAGAGGAACAGTTCAGCAGAGCATGCATTTGAGGGAGAGATAGACACTTCTGGAATATACCAGCTAGCTTGGAGGAGAATAGCGCACGGCAGGAAGACGAAGAGAGCGAGGCCTGTAAGGAAGCGTTGTGGTTTAGGTTTGGCAGATCTTTTCAGCCCTAAGGGCTATAAGCGAAACCGGCTGATGCTGCCGGGATAACTCCGGGTCGAATTGTGAGGTCCCCGGCATCCATTCTGTTGTTATAATGGAAAGTTCGTTGAAAAAAAAAAAAAAAAAGTCCATGGTGGGACTTATTAGCCTCAGGGGCTGTCAGATCGGCCGGTTTAAGCGCCCAAGCATGGGGAGCCTTGCACTTTTTGCACGCGCACAATTTCCCATGCTCTTTTGCGGATACACATTCTTCTTCTTTTTTTTATCCTTTTGTTTTTCTTTTCTTTCTTTTTTTTTAATTTGCTGGTACCATACTTGCCAGCAGACGGACCGGACGAGCGTCCGGTCCGGTCCGCTTTGCCGCGTGCAGCACCCCCCCCCGGGTTCAGACGGACCCGGACTGGACCATACGGGGGTGTTTTTTTTTTTTTTTTTTTTGGGGGGGGGCGTAACTGGTCGTCGGGCGCACATCCGTGCGCCGCACGGGTCCGGTCCGGATGTCTGCAGCACGTGCGGAACCGCCCGGACGGCGTCTGCTTGCAAGTATGGCTGGTACACATTCATTTCTTCTTTTTTTTTTCGTTTTTTTTGGATGATTTACTAGGTTACCAGGGCGGAGGTCCGGGACCCCCCTGGATGTCCAACTTGTGCGATCGGACAACCAGGAACAGTATATACGACCCTATTAAAAAAAAAAAGTGATTCTTTTTTCTGTGGGTTCCCCCTCGCATGAGGTATATGCCACAAAACTTTTGGGTCATTT